TGGCTGCCTTGAGTCCATGCAGCAGATACTGGAGGGAATAGAAAACAGGAAACTCCCTGTTTGTTCAGGATGACTTCAAATTCTGGTCTTCTGTCCCAATCAGTCTGCTTGCTACCATTTCATTTTCAGAGTACTCAGATAGCTGCTACATGCATTCCATCCATTTTATACCTGCGTTCAGTGGGAAAGACAGGGTGGAGTCTTGGAATTGTAATCTCTGTATTCTGTATTTTAACTTCTTATTAGAGGATAAGCATTTCCATTTTTGTCAAATAGTTAACGGTTGCATCTCTCTCTCCCCCTCTCTGTCTCTCCTCTCCCGTCTTAACCATTTTTAAGTATATAGTACAGTAGTGTTAAACTATGTGCACCTTGTTGTACAACAGATCTCTAGAGCATTTTCATCTTGAAAAACTGAAACTCTGTACCCATTAAATAGCAACTTGCTATTTCTCCCTCTCCCAAGTCCCTGGCAACTGCTTATGCCATACTCTTGTCTGGACATTTAGGTTGTTTCCAATTTCTCCCTGTTATAAATTGTGCTGAGTAGATAGTGGGAGAGTTTAGGAAAATCTCTCTTTTTGTGGGGACTATCCCTTCTAAGAAAATCCCTGTTATAAGGGAGAGACTCTCTCCTTTGCCAACTTAATTTAGTTGACACTAGTAGGCTTCAAGTTGCAAGAAAGATCAGACAACTCTGTTACAGTGCAATAGTTTTAATTTAGGGGCAGATGTTATGTTTGACCTGTTAAACCACAACTAGCTTATAACAGTGTAATTTGAGGGTGCATGCCTGGCCATTTTGCCTGGCCATTGTTGATAAGACCCATGACTACATCTAGATAGGCCCTCTGGCTCTCTCTTTCCAGGTTAGCTTGGCATAACAGGTTGGTGGTCAGTGCCATGTATTTCATCTGCTGGAACCTGTGGAAGGTACTGCTTTCCTTTCTGGTGGGTATGATGCAGAGACTGTAATCTTGGGAGACCCAGAGGCTCCCAGATGTTTGCAATTCTCCCCACAATCAGTGTACACTCTACATCTTCCCTAGAGTGGTAAGAATTAGAACCCTTACTCCCTCCTGGGGTAGGGATCCTCATCTCTCAACCCACTGAGTCTGCAAGAGGTGGCATAAAACTTGCTTTTTGTTCTATTGTATATCATGAGTTTGCGTTCTCTGGGTAAGAGAGAAGATTAGAGGCTCACTTGATTAGAAGCTCACTTGATTAGAAGAAAAAGAACCAGATTTTAGTTCCAACCTGTGTAGTAGGAAATTACTCTAATTTTCTTCTGTCAGGATTAATCTCTCTATTTTTTTATTTTTTATTTTTTTTTATTTTTTTTTTATTAAGCAATTTCAAGTAGATGTAAGGATTAATCTCTCTATAGGGTCAGATTTATCTCCAGAAAGATGGTACCAATTTACATTTTTACTAAAAATATACAAAAATGCCTATCTCACCACACTGTTACCAGTAATTCTCATTTTTAATATTCATTATTCATTAATTTGATAGATACAAGATGGCAGTTTCTTTTTTAAACATGTATTTCTTTAATTGCTAGTGAAGTGGAACACTTTTCCATGTTCACTGCCAGTTGAATTTCCCCTTTTGTGAATTGTCTGTTCTAGTTCATTGCCCGTCTATCTTCCCACATGTCTTCAAGTGTTATCTTTTTAAAGATTTATTGTTTAGAAAAATTAGTCATGAAAATATACAGAAGTGTAATGAAATTCCATTTTCCAGTTCTGAAATCACTTTACTGCATTGTTTATTCTGGGTTTACCTAGGAGAATGGTGGCAAAGGTCACATTAATAACTGAAATCTAGAAATACACCAAAGCCTAAATTAAGATTATGACCTAAGCTTTCTTCTAACTTTTGAAGTGCTCTTCCTCCCGCCCTGCCTGCCCTCTGGTGGAGGTGCTAATGAGCAGGCCAGGAGATCACCTAAGCTATAAGAAGGAAGAGTGAAAAAGACTAAGGTAAGCCTAAAGGATAGACTACTTCCAAATAATTAAAGAGCCACTGTTTGACTTAGAACAAACCTCTGTTCCTTGGTTTTTCCAACATTAAATGGGGACAACAGTATTTACCATAAGACTATTATTCCCAAGTTGGTATCTCTCCATAGGTACTGCTCTCCATCTTTGGTCTTGCTTACCTGGGATAATTCACACCTAGGAAAAACATTTTTTTCCCCAGTTCTATATCTGGAAAAGAATGCAAGTTGGTATAGTATAAAAACCAGTGGACCAGGAACTAAGGGTTCTGTTTCCAGCTCTGGCACTTGCTAGTTAGTTGGACGTCCTTGAGTAAAGTCTCTCAACTTCCCTGAGTCTGGGTTTCTTCATCTATAAATTAAGAATAATGATATTAATGGGTATATTGTGAGGTTCAAATGAAATAATAGTAAAAGTGCTTTGCAAACAATAAAACACTCTTTAGATCTAGGGTAATATTAATACACTGTTGACAACTCTTTTCTCTGAATCAACATTTAACTTGACTTGCTTGTCTGTGTATTTTAGAATAAGAAATAATAATTTATCCTTTTAACCTTCAGCAAATAAATAAGAGACTTTGGTCTCAGATGCATAGAAAAAGTAAATACTATGTCCTGATGTGACCCAAGTCTGTGTGTGGACTGTCTAGACTGATGGTCCCCAACCTTTTTGGCACCAGGGACCAATTTCATGGAAGACAATGTTTCCATGGCCCGGGCATGGGGAAGATGGCGAGTGATGGGAGCAGATGTAAATACAGATCAGATGAAGCTTTGCTCACTTGCCCCCTGCTCACTCCTGCTGTGCAGCCCGGTTCCTAACTGGCCACGGACCAGTACCAGTCCTCAGCCTGGGGGTTGGGGACTGCAGCTCTAGATCTCACTTTCATGTTTGTTTCAATTACAGAATTGAAAGAGTGGAAGGTTTAAAATTATGCCTTTCAGAACTAGTCATTATTCAATGACTACATTTCAAAAATGTTGCTCATGTCTTTAAAATAAATTATCAGTTTCTTTTATTGTTACCTTAGCCTAAATATAAATTTATTGACATAGTGATGATAATAGTTTTTAGGGTTTTCAAAAAACATTTCCTTGAAGCTGAGATAATTTAGAAGATTTAAGTATTTACACATATTAAATGTTTAAATATTTTGTACATTTTATTCTGTGTGGCTGAAGATAATTGTGAAAATACATACAATTATGTAACTAGAAGAGTTCAGAATTCTGCATTCCTTTCTCTGCTACACTCACAATTTCTTATCCTTCTTCCAATCCTACTATAGTAGGATATATCAGAAGAAACTAAAACAAAAAAAGTAGCTATCTGAAAAGAGATAAAACTGTCAAAGGTACCTGGTCCAAGTCACCATTATTCTTACCTAGGTATTTACAATAGCCTCTTATCTGGTTTTCCTACTTCAGTCTGTTTTTAAAATAGCAGTTCAGAATGATACAATCCAAGTCAGATAATGTTGCTTATCTCCTCAAAAACCTCCAAGGGCCTTTACTTCTCAATCCTCTTTTCCTGCCCAGCCCTCATTCCCTCAGTCTAGCCACACTGGCCTCCTTGACCACACCAGGAACACTTTAGCCTCAGAGCCTTGTTGTGAAATGCTCTTCCCTCAGGTATCTGCATGAGTGGCTTCCTCACCTCCTTCATTCATCTTCTCTGTGGGGGTCTTCCCTGTCACCTTTTTTAAAATTGCAACTCAACTCCCAAGGAGGGTTGGTCTCCTTTAATCCAACCTTTTATCCCTTCCTTCTATATCACTTATCGCCATCTAACATATAATATGTTTACTTATTTCTTTTATTTATTGTCTGTCTGTCCCTCTAGAATGTAAGCTCATGAGGTGTCTTGTCCGTTTTGTTAACTGCTATATCCTTAACACCGAGAAGCGTGCCTGGCTTGTAGTAAGTACTCAATAAATGTTTGTTGAATGAATGAATGAAACAAAGATAAGCCATGCTCTTATTTGGTTTGCAACACTGTAAAAATTGTAAAATTTTCATCAAAACTTTAAAAAAACTACAAAACTTTTGATATCTTTGGATGATGGGATCTATTATTATAACATCCAAAGTATTAGTGTCCTTTTCTTCCATACCTCCATCCCCACCAATACTTTGGCCATTCTGTGTTTCTAAAATCAATATCTCCTGCAATCCATTACTATCCTTTCTAGCATAAGTGTAATTGTGTAAACTACTCACAGTTTGTCATGAAAGGAGGAAAGAATTGAATAATAATGAAATAATTGTCCTTTGCTTTCTCTGACACTTTAATCTCTTGGTCTTAGTTTTGGCCATCCATTTTCTGACTTCTCTTTATCCCCCATCTCCAAAATATAGGTATTACCAGTGGATCTTGCTTGGATTTCTTATCTTGCTCTGTATGTTGTCCATTAGCGATCTTATCCACTTTTATGGTTTCCATGATCTGATCTCCTTTTCTTAAATTACTTTCAAATTTGCAAGCCTAGTCTTGACATTTCTTACTGGCCCTAATTCTATGTTTCCCCAGCTGGGCCATCTTTCAAGTTCTCAAACCTCATATGTTAAAAACCAAAGTTATCTTTTTCCTTTAAAACTGGCTCCTGTTCCAGTTTTAACAGTAGCTTGTGTTTCTGTTAATGACCCTGCCTTCTTCTAAATTTGGAAATATTTCTAAGGCTTATAATCTTTCATGAGTTTCTTCACATTGTCGAGCCTTCTTGCTTATACTTCTAGAACATCTTTTTTTTTTTTTTTTTTTTTTGCAGATAGAGTCTTATTCTGTCGCCTTGGCCAGAGTGTAGCGGTGTCAACACAGCTCACAGCAAATTTCAACTCCTACGCTCAAGCGATCCTCCTGCCTCAGCCTCCCGAGTAGCTGGGACTACAGCCGTGCACCATCACACTCAGCTAATTTTTCTGTTTTTTGTAGAGATGAGGTCTCATTCTTGCTCAGGCTGGTCTGGAACTCCTGAGCTCAAACAATCCTCCTGCCTTGGCCTCCCAGAGTGCTAGGATTATAGGCGTGAGCCACCGTGCCCAGCTGAATATCTCTTGATTCATCAAAATATCTCTTAATTTCAGTAGATCTGGGATGGGGCCTGAGATTCTGCATTAAGCTGAATTGCTTATTGCTGGTCCATTGACCAGACTTTGAGTAGCAAGAGCCTGCTCCAGGATAACAATGGCCACTTGAACCTAGTCTTCCACTTTCTAATCCATGGCTATACCTAAGAAAAACTCAATTCTTTTTCAAAAATAGAGGTCTGATATTGCCCAGTCTTGCTTTTTCTATGTCACAGAAGATTTGCGAAGCTACAGACAGAAGATAAAAAAGTCAAGTCAGCCATAGAGATCAATTCAGAGTTAAACATGAACAATTTGATGTATATTCTTTTAGTCCTTTCTTTTTTTGCATGTAAAAATGTATTTAGGTTATATCTGTATTTTTTAAACCACAACGGGATGGATCACTTATCATTCTTTTGTTGCCTGATGTATAAATTTGCTTTCTATGTTTGAGGCTTTCTCTGTTTTATAAAGTAGAATCTGCCTTCTCTATATGATAAAAATGCCTGATGTTCTTTTTCTTAACGTTCCTTACAACTGAGAACCGGGCACTTGGTGCAGCCATGCAGATGAATCCTCTTTAGACTTTGATTCAGGAGCTGGTGACTCAAAGCAGCAGGGATGACGCAGAATCTGCTCTGGCCAGGGCACAGCAGTGATGGCAGCTACATCCTGTTTCCAGAGGCATCAGAGACAGCTGTTGTGAGGCAGTCTGCAGTGTCCAGCACCCAAGAAGTTGGCAGTGCAAACCATGGGGTCACTGCTTGGCAGCTGGAGTGGTGACTTCATGGGACCAGCTCTGCAGAATGCTTTGGGTATGGTTCTTGCCAGCATGGTTCTCCTTCCCACCTTTGCTTCTTAAATTAGCTTAAAAGTTGACTAATTTACTAGGAACAAATACTAATGACATTAACAATAACTAACTCTTAGATAGTACTTTTTGTTTTCCAGGCAAATTTCTAAGTGCTTTATGTATAGTAGCTACTTTAATTTTTACAACAACCCATTGATGTATGGACTCGTATTATTTCCATTTTACAGATGATGAAACTGAGTTACAGAGAGATTAGGTTATTTGTCCAAGGTCACAGACTATATAGAAATGGTGGCTCTGAAACACAAATTTTGCCAGTCTGACCTAGTTCTTAAGAGCCTTGACTGATATATGTGCTGCTTTATAACCTAATTTTTTTCATGTAACAAAATTTCATGAGCATTTTGATGTTATTAAATATTCATTTAAATATTTAAAGTAGCTGTATAGTGTTCAATTATAACGATGAATCATGATTTATTTAGACAACTCCCTATTGTTGAACATTAAGTATATCCTGGTGGCTAAACTTATTTTTTTAAAAATCTTTGATTATTTCCTTGAGATAAAGACTTAGAAGTGGAGTGCTTGGTCAAGGTGTATTCAAATTGCCTTCCAGAAAGATTATTCCTATTTAAACACCCAGCACTGTATGGAAGCCTTATTATCATTGAATATTAATGTTACATTTTTTCTTTGTGGCAATGAAAATGATACATAATTTTCTTATAAATTTGAAATTCTTTAAACATTTAAAAATATATTTATTGGCCATTTGTCAAAAGTTATTCTGTGAATTGCCTTCTCCATCACCTATAGGATAAAACTAAAACTACTTAAAACTAAAACTACATTTCATGGCTCTTCCTTACTCTGATTCCAACTAATTTTCTAACAAGTTCTACAGGTCCTAAATATTCACTCTACACACTCATTGGAATTATTTTATATTAGATTGAAACATATGAATTTGCCATTTTTGTGGCCAAAAAATGGTCAACTACTGACAGTTTCATATAGTGAAACCTTATAAATCTTCAAAACTTTTATACTATAATGCTTTCACAAATGCCTTTTGCCACTCTCTGAAATACTCCTACTTCTTTATGAAGCTCAGTTCATGAGTCAGGTCCTCTCTCCCCATTGCCCATGCCCCCCTACCCAGGTCCTCCTCTCACCCTCAGCTTAGGTAATGTAAATCATCCCTCTTCACCATTTCCACTCTCACTCTTTCCTATCATGGCTGTAGAAAGATCCCAGGGCATTGTAGCTGGATAATAAATTTGCATCTGCCCGGCACAGGATGAGCCCTCTGTTGCTCTTCATTGGTAGAAACTATGTCTTACTTATTTTGGCAGCCACAGTAATCAGCAAAGTTTCTGGCTTGTAGTAGATGCAGAATAAATATCTGTTGAATGGAAAAACTAGTAACTCCAGGGCCCAGAAAGTACCTTATTAGCCAAATACTACTTGCAGTTTCCTTCCATGTTAAATAAGGAAGAGCATATGTAACACCTTCTAATTGGTTGGTTGGTATTTTGTTTGGAATTGGACCTCCTTACTTTGAATCCTCCATCTCTCTAATTCATCTTTTCCTATATTTTCAAATGTGGTAATTACAGTGCAATTCAGTGAAATTATTTTATTACATGGTACAATTCTCAAGAGTGAATCAGCATAGTTCTCTAGCTAGCTAAATAAGTAATCAGCATAGTTTCCAAGGAATAGATTCTGTATTTGTCCCTTTTAACCCTATTCACCTTTTCTGTTAGGTGGACTTTCAGAAACTTTTAGTGACTTCCACAAAACACTAATGCTATAGATAGAGTTACAATATTACAACAAGCTTCAAGAAACATTAAAAGTAAAAATATTTTTTTAAAATTAAAAATATTTAAACTGAATCTTAATAGGACAAAGTCTTCTGTTTATATGAGGGATACCCTGCACTATTAATCTAAGGTTCACTTATAAGAAGAATATCATGGAATTATAAAACTTTAAAGATGAAAGAAATCCTCAAGGGTTTCAGAATGTGCTCTTTGGTGAAAAAACACAAATGGGAGTGGGGGAGAGAATAGTCTGAGCTTTGATTTGGCTCCATATTCTCTCTCCAGTTAATGTGAGTGATGTTCCAACTCTTGCTCATCTTTTCTGATCCACATGTCCTGCCCTAGCCATTCGTGGAACAAGTTCAGGAAGAAGCAGCTGTAACACCAGGCCTCCTCTGTGTTTGCATTCAGAGGGGACTGGGTGTCGCTTTCTGTACCCCTCCCTCTTGTCCCCCCAGACATCCAGACAGCTCTGGCCTTTTCTTTCCTGCTTGCCCAATAGGCATGTGTATGCTGAGTTATTTTGTACTTTGTAAGTGGGCTTCTCTAACTAAAGGACTGGTTCAATGACTAGATCCAAAGATCCAGAAGATCTGCTTGAGATTTTTAAAAAGGGGATGGGGTATTATAATAAAAAAGACAGATACTAACAGTGTTGGTGAGAATGTGGAGAAATTGGAACCCTCATACACAGCTGGTGGGAGTATAAAATGGTGCAGCCACTTTGGAAAACAGTTCGAATAGTTAAACATAGAGTTACCATATGATTCAGCAATTTTACTCTTAGGTATACTCAAGAGAAATGAAAACATATGTCTGTGCAAGAGCTTGTACACAAATGTTCACAGTGATGATATTCATAATAGCCAAAGAGTAGAAACAACCTAAATTTCCATCAACTGATGAATGGATAAATAAAATGTGGTATATCCATAATATAGAATATTATTCATAAATTAAAAGAAGTGAAGAACTCATACATACTATAATGCAGATGAACCTTGAAAACATGTTATGTAAAAGAAACCAGTCCAAAGAACCACATGTTGTATGATTCCATTTATATGAATGCTCAGATAGGTAACTCTATACAAACAGAAATTAGTGGTTGCCTGCAGTGATGGCTAAGGGGAGTGGAGTTACTTTTTGAGGTAATAAAAATGTTCTATTAATAAAATTGATTGTGGTGATGGATGTATAAGTCTGTGAATATATTAAAAGCCATTGAATTATACACTGCAAATAGGTGAATTGTGCAGTATGTGAATTATATCTCGATAAAGCTATAAAAAATAAAAAAAGAAGGGTGTGGTTTTTACATTTAATTTTGTTTTCCAGTACTTCTCTGGCTAACTGGACATTCCCATGCCTAATTTCAGACTTGCTTTGTCCTTTGATTCTGCTTGAAGTCCAGCCAATAGCTAATGTAGTAGGATGGAAATCTGACTCACACTACAACTTAGACATTATGGGAAATGTAAGTTCTTCATGTAGTCTACAATCAGCCTGGCTTTCCTCCTTAATGCTCAACCGATAGATAGTGGGAAAAAATAATGGGATATGTAATTATGAGTGTCTGGAAAGACCAGTATGGTGGAAGGAATGGCTGGGCCTGATTTATCTGCACCTATCACACACTATTCTTGCTATAACTATATTCGCTCAAATGACTAATGGGACAGTCAGTGTGGTGCACCATGTGTACGATTCTGAATTCTTGTCTTGATTCTTGATTCTGTGCCTTGTTTTTGCCTTCATTATCTATGTGATTCAAGACTTGCTTTGAACTCCTGGATTTGTGTGCTCTGTTACTCACGAAGGCTCTCTTGACTTCTCACTACTGGCTCTGTCTTGAGCACTGGTTCCCAGGCAATGTCAATGTCACTGGGTTTGCTGTATTTGTGTAGCTGGTCACAAAGGTTCATTGTTTTGATCTCCGTCATGGCTTCTGATTCCATCTCTATGACCAGTAGCTGGCTGGGGTGATAATATAATTGTTTTGTGGGTTCCTAAAGCATTAGAGCTTAATAGAATACACAAACTTATTTCCTTCTTTTGAAACTATATTTAAAATGTTTTAAATAAAATTCACCCTGTTTTTGTAATTTTATATTGATGATGCTATGAGCACTTATTTTACTTTTAAAGCTGTATTTGTCTGTTTGTTTTTGTTTTTTGTTTTTTGTTTTTTTTTTTGGAAAGAGGACTGCCTGGCTATTGGTGCTTCAAACAAAGGAGGTAAAAAATAGTATTATATTAGTTGTCTGAGGGGGGAGATAAACTATGATTTTATATTTGCTTTTCAAATAGTTTTAGCATAATTAAATCAGTGATGTGACTGTTCAGAAAGGAATCCAGAGTACTTACTGGTGCTTTGAGTGATTTATATTCTAAAGGTTGTGACTTCCATAAACAACCAAAACTATTTCAGAATTGTCATTCATTCAGGACTGAAACTTAACATTGATATAGGGTTCTGTATTCTGAGTGCCTGGGAAGTAATCTTTATTACAAATAATACTTTATTTTGGGGGAAAATGGCAATTTTAAGAATATTTAACATAATATGAATACATATTGAGTTTATAAAGAGATCAATTTGATTAAAATACTTGACCACTAAATGAATAAGGATTTGAGAATGTATAATAGAATAATAATAGAATACAGGATTTTTTATTCAATAGAAATTATCTATGTGCTATTAAATAAATGTGTATACATATATAAATTAAAACTTTAGGGATATATATTTATTTATTCTTAGATATAAGGATAAGTACTGTATTTATGATGCCCCAAGATTCAGCTGGATATAATTTTCACATTATCACTTTAATCATATCATACCTGTTAATTCATAAATGTTAATCTAAAAAGGGAAAGGTTGATAATGACAATTTTTAGAAAATGTACTCTTTTGATTGTCTGTTTTCTTATTCAGATATTCCAAAATATTAAGAGCTGTAAAATATGCCGGAGCAGGCCAGGCAGAGTGGTGCACATCTGTAATCCTAGCACTCTGAGAAGCCAAGGCAGGAGGATCGCTTGAGCTCAGGAGCTTGAGATCAATAACTCTACAAAAAATAGAAAAATTAGCTGAGTGTGGTGGCACATACTGGTAGTCCCAGCTACTCAGGAGTCTGAGGCAGGATAATCACTTGAGCCC